AAACAAAACGCACTTCCATAGAATGAACTAAACATACAGTTCATAGAGCTGTGTTTTCCCTGGTCTTAAAGTTGCATCACACATACACACGCGTGCGCGCGCGAGCGCACACAAACACACACACACACAGAAGAAGCCAGGTCTAGTATTCACCGTGCTTCTTTAATATTTCCCATTTTCTAGCAAGATTAATGTTGGCTTCTTTAATATTTCCCCTTTTCTAGCAAGATTAATGCTCGACAAACGTACATATAAGTTTTAGATTAAAATAAAATTATTTTCATTTTTCATTCAAAATACTATATTTTAGGAATACGTTTTTACAACATCGCCCACGTGACGCCGACGTGATCATATTGAAACGGAACGCTATCTTGAAAAATTTCAGTTATCTGTTTTGATTAGTCTTACTCTTATGTCCATCGTCTTTTCATGTTGAATTAAATATAGTCTAATGTTAATTATGTTTTATGAATATGTCCTGAAGATGGTCTATTAGACCGAAACATCCGACGTTGACATTATATTAACATTAAAACAGCATAATTGCATATTAGGATTTTTGTTTGTTTTTTCCGTATATTTTTCTTCATACTGTCGGATCTATATCCATATATTTGCTTACATATATATATATATGGGGGGTGTATTTTGGTACCATATTTTCATTCAAGCATGTTTGGTTAAATAATTTAGACGTATTAGGTCTATTTATTTTAGTTCTAATCCTTTCAAGTCCACGAATTAATTTCTTGGTGGCTGTAGAAAATTGATTAAGAAAAATTTCAGAATTTTCAGTGAAATAATATTAATTTTCCGAACTACGTTCAATCTCATCTGAGTCCATCTTCAGGGGTTGAATACCTATTTAACAGCGAAAATTCAAAATATTTTCTACCTCTATACAAGGGAGGTAACTTACGTGAAGGTTTTAAAAGTTTAAAAAAGAATTTCTACACCCATCAAAAAACTTAATTCGTGGACTTTAAATGAATAAAACTAAGATAAATAGAATTAATGCGTTTAAATTTTAACCCAATATATATATATATATATATATATATATATATATATATATATATATATATATATATATATATATATATATATATATGTATATATATATATATATATATATATATATGTTAGTGTTATGACGTTTGACTTTTGTAAAATAATTGATATCCTGCATCATAAGTTGACGAACTTTTTGTTCAAAATTAATGATAAAAACTTTAATTCATTTTATTTTTTATAATGTCATCCCAACACAAAATTTCTAAAATTGTATATAATTATAATAGTGCAAAGCCAATGTGGAACCTTCTAGAACTTCCTGGACCCTTGTAGAACTTTATGGAACCTTCTAGAACATATTTTTTATATGTTTGTATGTTATGCTATAAACTTTTACATGAGTTAAAAATACATTTTAGTACTATCCAATCATTAGCAAATTGAAAAATAAAGATTCTGAAATATCTTGATATTTTAAACTTACTGCATTAAACCAAATTTTCTGTTTGCGGTGACCTTTTACAATAACTAAAAAAAATTATGTTTTTTAATTCATATTATGGTGCCAAAAGCTATCTTTCGCCATGACTGACCAGACGTTGTGCCTACATGAATGTCATCATTCGCTTTGAAATGGACACCCCGACCCTACATCGGTTTGACCTCTTTCCGAAGGTGACTGATATGTGGATAAAAAACACCTTACCAAAATGGTCATCCCAGCCGTTTCCATAGTAATTAATTCTGCGAATGAACATGCTTATAAAGATGCGTAAATTTCAAGATTGGTTATTCCTAAATTTTCGCTTCATACTTTAATTCAGTCTAATTTTAATAATTATATTGAGGTTTTCGGCTCTCGTTTTTTGAAACATGAGAACTGTAGCGAAGGAATCATATTTATTAAAAATAATAATATATATATATATATATATATATATATATATATATATATATATGTATGTATATATATATATACAGAGAGAGAGAGAGAGAGAGTTTGGTGATAAGTATGTAGTATCATATATATAATTCTACTTGTTCATTCGTTCCTTAGCTTGTACATTAATCCCTAACATTGCCCCAGATAAGCAATGAACCATTCCTCTTTGATTGCGCTGAAAGACCTGTAATAACATTCCGGTTCCCGGAAGAAAAGATATATCAAAGGCGCTCTTTTATTTTAGAGAAAGAAAGAAACGAACAAGCAAACAATCGAAGGGAGAGATGGTGACAACACTCTCAAGTTTTTCACGTCTGCTTCAGTGAAATGGAAAACCTCCTCAATTTTAAATTATTTGCCTACTCTTATCTGCAATATTTTGTCAAAGATTTCTGGTCAAATAATTAACGATGCAATCGAAGAATTCTTACGTGTATTTTTTCGTCCCAGAACACGCAAGTGTCTTATTGAGTCGTTAACTTAAGAATTAAGATTCATCCGAAAATCCAATGAAGAAAAGTATGGAATTTTCACCTACTTTTTCTTCTACTCATTATTCACGTACTTCAGTTCAGCTCCACGATGGGCTAAACATTTGTCCAGTTTAAGAAGAATTTTGCATGCTTCTGAGGACCGAAAGATACGCAGCAGACTATAATGTTGTCCGGATCAAGCGATATGCCGGATCACTGGTGGATCGTCTCTGAGGACATTTAATCGGATTTACACTCAAAGTTGCTATTATGGATCACACAATTCTTATCAATATTCTCTTAAGAACAAGTTAAAAAATGATGGGCACCTAGTGAGAATCGATATCACCTTTCGTTTACAACAAGGAGTTCATAATAATAAGAAAAAGAAAGGGCAGTTTGTGAAAATAGCTAAGAGCATCAAAAGACAGAATGCCGTGGAGACCCATGATCTCTTCATGAAAGTACATGGTACATAGAAAGAGAGAGAGGGAGGAATAAATACACAAAAAAAAGTAAGCTATGATCGCCTGCATCCTGAAGAGACGCAGCATAGGGAAGAGAGAAGAGAGAAAGAGGCAGAGAAAGAGGGAAAGAGAGAGAGTACAAAATATCTCTTACTTGTATAATGTACTTCATTCGGAGCAAACCTATTATTTTTGTTGTAGCTTTTAAGACGAGGTCGAGATTAATGCCTTAGATTTGAATCATTTCACCCCAAACAAGTTAATAAAGCCACTGAGACGCAGGAGGTTACCGAGTGCGGAAGAATATAAGGAAAAGAAAACATTATTATGGAGCAAGAACAATAAGAGAACAGAAATTAAGAAGAGAGAAGCTAACGATTAATATTTCATTTAAATTTTTGATGATTGACTGAAAGCAATAAGATGGAAGAGAGTTCCACAAGTGAGAAGTTCGAGAAAAGAAACCGTTAGCTTCGAACTTACAGTTGCATCTAGCCATTTCAACTGTAAAATGATGAGATCTTGTACCGATCTGGTTCTGCTCATAAATTCATAAAGTCTAGATACCATAGATCAAAGTTCATCAGAACAAGTACCATTGAAATATTTTCTACAAATATCACAGACAAATGAGATTGTTCCGCAAGTGCTAATTTTGAGAGCTTTTCTCACAATCCCTTGTTAGTTAGTTTGATTTCATTCTTGTTCTGTGTCAAATTTAGTTAAACTTCATTATTATGTAACATGGGCGCCTGCCGTATAACGGTAACGAAAAAGCTTGTCTAGTCCGCTCTGGCGACATTTTAGAAGCAGCTGTTTGAGAATTTGTCATTTAAAGCATTTTTTCCTATTTAGCTTAATCTAGAAGAAGACTACAAATACAAAATTCCTAATGAGTATAAAACTTAGTAATACAATCCATTGATTAAATGCGGATTGACAAAAAGTTCTCTATATTAAAGCAATTGTCCGGACAAAATATCTGTATCTACATACGATCATGTTGTTAAGGATGGACGGCTAGGCGTGGTTTTATGTGTCTTTTTATGATCCAAAACAAGTAGGGAGGGTCTGCTTGACTGATGGGTGAGAGCAACTCTTATCTCGCCTACTTGCTTTATGTGCACTGATGCAGAAGAATCTTAAAGAAAGCCTTTAGATATTTTCTTTTTGGGCGAATTTCGATTCCTTGTTCAGTTTTGACAAACTCAGATCATTCGACGCCATTTCTAATTCAACGTCTGAATAGATAAAATTCCCTTCCTCTTTAAATCTCGGCCGAAAACACAAGAATGAAAGACAGAGTAAGATTTAACATTGAATGGCAACATTTATTTCCAATTTTTTTTGCCTCCTTTCTTTCTTTCTTTCTTTCTTTCTTTCTTTCGTCGTCTTCATCTTCTTCTAGACATGTTTTCTTTCTTTCTCACCTTTTCTTTCTTTCTTTCTTTTTTTCTTTCTTTCTTTCGTTGAAACGCTTCTAATTTTAGCCATCTTCTCTCAAAATGTGTTTTTAGGTTTCTTTTCTACTCTCTTTCTTTTATCTTTCTTTTTCCTTTCTTTCTTTCTTTCTTTCTTATCTTTCTTTTTCCTTTCTTTCTTTCTTTCTTTCTTATCGTTCTTCTATCCATGCTTTCTTTCTTTCTCACCTTTTCTTTCTTTCTTTCTTTTTTTCTTTCTTTCTTTCGTTGAAACGCTTCTAATTTTAGCCATCTTCTCTCAAAATGTGTTTTTAGGTTTCTTTTCTACTCTCTTTCTTTTATCTTTCTTTTTCCTTTCTTTCTTTCTTTCTTTCTTATCGTTCTTCTATCCATGCTTTCTTTCTTTCTCACCTTTTCTTTCTTTCTTTCTTTTTTTCTTTCTTTCTTTCGTTGAAACGCTTCTAATTTTAGCCATCTTCTCTCAAAATGTGTTTTTAGGTTTCTTTTCTACTCTCTTTCTTTTATCTTTCTTTTTCCTTTCTTTCTTTCTTTCTTTCTTTCTTATCGTTCTTCTATCCATGCTTTCTTTCTTTCTCAATTTTTCTTTTTTTTCTTCTTCTTTTTCTAGCCATGTATTATTTCGTTGAAACACTTATAATTTCAGCCCTCTTCTCTAAAAATGATTTTACGTTTCTTTCTTATTTTCTTATCTCTTTCTTTCTTTCTTTCTTTTCCTTTCTTTCTTATCGTTCTTCTATCCATGCTTTCTTTCTTTCTTTCTCACCTTTTCTTTCTTTCTTCTCCCTCTTCTAGCCATACTTTTTTTCGTTATACACTTCTAATTTTATCCCCCTTTTCTCAAAATATGTTTTTACATTCTTTCTTTCTTACTTTCTTTCTTTGCTTCCTTCTTTTTTTTACTTATTATGTTTGTTCATGAATTTTCAATTCAGATTGTAAATATTTCCTCTCTTTATTTTTGCATTCTATATTTCTTTTCTTTCTTTCTTTCGTATCTTTAACTTTTATTTTATCTTTTTCTTTCTTCTTTTAAAATTGTTAATTTTCTTTTCTTATCTTTCGTATTACTTTTTTCTTATTTTCACTTTTTTATTTATTGCGAAATTTAAATACGTTTCTTCTTTTTTTTCCTTGTTTTTATTTTATTTTTTCAGAATTTTAACTTTCATCTCTTTTTCACATTTCCTAAAAATCATTCTTTTATTTTTTCTTCATCTAGCGTTCTTCTTTCTCTTTTTTTTTTGTTTATTTTAAATTTAATTTTTAATTTAAATTCAGATTCATAAAAAATATTTCGTGCTTTCATTCTTTTATTTTCAATCCAGATACTATTTTCTTTCGTTTCTTATCGTTTTTCTTTCATTATTTCATTCTTCATTCCAGTTCTTCGCTTGGTTTACATTCCATCTATCTTTTATTCAGATTATAAAAATAGATTATCTTTCTTTTTTCTTTTTTCACTTGGACATTAATTTTACCTATTTTTTTTTTCTTTTAGTTCTATTTCTTCTTTCTTTCTTTCTTTCTTTCTTTCTTTCATTACCGTTATTTTTCTTTCATTTTTCGCTTTTTTCTTTCTTTCATTCATTTGATTATTTTTGCGTCGATGTTGTTTCCATTTCAGATTAAAAATATTTTTCATTTATTTTATTTTCTTTCATTCATCTATTTTTCACACCATATTTGAAAATTACTTTCCTTGCTTTTTCTATCTTTCTGTCACACTGGCATTCATTCATAAATTCTTTTCTTCTTCTTCTTTATTTCTTTCTTTCTTTCTTTCTTTCTCTTTCGTTCGTTCGTTCGTTTTTCTTTTGATCCTGTTTACATCCCTTATTTTAAATATTTTTCATTCATTTATATCGTTCGCCCATCTTTTCTTCACACTATATTTTAAAAATATTTTCTGTTTATTTTTCTATCTTTGTATCTCTTTGCCATTCCACTCTTTCTTTCTTTCTTTCTTTCTTTCTTTCTTTCTTTTCTTTCTTTCTTTCTTTCTTTCTTTCTTTCTTCATCATTCATTATCGCTCTAAATTGTTCAAATCTTTCTTCTTTAAATTATCACTTTCATTTATTTTTATTCATTCTTTTCCTTCTTCTCTTTTGCACTTTTATTTTATGAAATGGTTGTTTTCGTTTTTTTTTACTTTTTCTTCTATCTCTCTTCTTCTCGCTAAATATTTTGATATGTTTTTCATTTTCTTACATTTTCCGTGGTATTTCTTTTTAATTCCATATTACATCATTTTTCTTTTCTTTTTTTGTCTGTTCGTTGCATTTCTTTGAAACACATTTTCTCGAAGGTTTTTATTTTTTATTTTCATTCGCTTATTCATTATTTTTCATATTTTTCATTATTTTCTTATTTCTTTCTCTATTTTTCTTCGATTTTTTGTTCTTTATTTTTCACAATTATAAGTTCTTATTATTACACTTTCATTTTTTTCATCTCATCTTTCTTCTTCTATCTTTCTTTTTTGTTTCCTTCATTTTTTCTGTATATTTTAATTTCTTTCTTCATTTCCTTTACTTTTATTCTTTATTCCTTCTTATTCTTTCTTTTCTTTCTTTCATTTAATCCTTTTTTTTCCTATTTTTATTTTAGTGAGGGGGTACAGAAAATTTCCATAATATCCGTTCTACTAGTACTACAATTGCTACTACTTCTGTTGCCCTTGATTCTAATACCAATACTACTTCTACTACCACTACTACTACTACTACTACTACTACTAATAATAATAATAATAATAGCAACAACAACAACACCAACAAAAGAACAAACAAATATGTGGATGAAATTCTTGAATGCCCTAAAATAGACGAATTGCAAAATACTCCTGGGTACTCCTTACATGTGTAGATTTCTTTCCACGCAATGATCACAATTACAGACTTTTTCTCTCTCAGATTGAATGGCAGATCATTTGTTTGAATCTGATACAAAAAAAAAGATAGATTCTCTCTTGGAGTCTCTGATTGAAATGGGGCCCAACTCGCGTAAAAAAAAATAAACAACAACAACAGCAATAATAATAATAATAATAATAATAATAATAATAATAAACAACATTTGTTGTTTCTTGATATCTCCACAAATAATAGAAATCTACACTACAAACATTCAGATATAAGTAAAATACAAAGAGAAATGGAAAAGATTTCTTTATCAACGCGTTTCCTTATCAAGGTAAAAGTGATGATTTTATTTTGTAATTTGTATACATACAAATAATAATAATAATAATAATAATAATAATAATAATAATATAGAGACTTTACGATGGGCTTTATCGATGTAAAATATATGTGATCTCCTGAAAGGAGACGGCACATAAAAAAATGAATATCACACACATTTTACATAGATAAATCCCTTCGCAAAATGTGAGTATTTTGTGTGCAATGTTTTGTATTTCTTTAAGGCTTTAGCTACCAGCAATCCCTTCAATGAGTCTATCGGAACCTTTTTCAATCAGATCGAAGGCTCCTAAAATTGCTGGAATTATTAATGGCCACACTTTTTCCATTTCAAGATCCTCGTATTTTGATAGTTTTTTTAAAGATCTCCAGAGGTTATTATTATTATTATTATTATTATTCCGGATTCCAACCAGAGACCTAAGGTCAGAAATGGCATCATGATATTTTCCACTGAGTAATTAAAAAAATAAAAAAATAAAATAAAAAAAAACATATTTTACATAGATAAAGCCCTTCGTATGGTGTGGGCTGTACTCATGAGAACATTTTTTGTATTTCTTTAAGGAATGGGCTACCAGGAATCCTTTCGATGAGTCTATTGGAATCTTTTCCAATCAATCCGAGGGCTACAACTGAAATTATTGAACAACCCTCTCGACACTCATTTATGATGCTACACCATTTCATTCGTTTCTTTAGGGACTGCCATATCAATAAGGAGGTAATTTTTTGTTTTCAGTCTCTCATAATGATATCAGGGCGATTAGCTTTCATTGTTCTGTCTGTGTGTATTGTTCAAAATACACACAGACAGAACAATCAGTCCCATAAAATTTTTACAGGTCCCATCTTCGTAACCGGAGATATTTATTATTATTATTATTATTATTATTGTCATCATCATCATCATTCGATTTCTGCTATGGACACACTACCTACCAAGTCTGCGGAAAGACCTAAGGCAGGTCGTGTGTGTTGTTATGGCCACATTTCATGTTAATTTTTTTTTTTTTTTTTTTTTTTTATCTCCGATGAAGTTGCTAGCGTTACATAGACAAAGTTCTCCTTAGTGTGTGTGCTGTACTTAATAAGACAATTTTCTGTATGTCTCTTAAGCTGGGGTTTCAGGGATTCTTTCAATGTGTTGTTTTTTGTTCCATTTTTATAATTCCAAGTGCACCTATTACCACTGGTATTATTCTTGTTTTCAATTTCCACATTTTTTCTATTTCAATTTCCAGGTCTTTGTATTTTGATAGTTTTTCAAATTCCTTGGTTGCTATGTTACAATCCGCTGGACAAAGCCCATATCAATTAGTAGGCAAGTTTTTTCTTTCTGGTTTTTGACAATAATGTCCGGCCTATTTGCTTCAATTTTTCTGTCTGTGTGGATGGTATAATCCCATAGAATGGTGACATCTTCTATTTCTGTAACCGGCGCTGGCCGATGTTCATACCAGTGTTTGCTTACACATTTTCCAAAGTGTTTGCACATTGTCCAGTGTAAGTATTGCCCAACTCTATCGTGACGATTTTTATATTCATTTGGGGCAAGTATAGAACATCCTGAGATTAGATGGTCTATTGTTTCTTGGTATTTGTCACAGAACCTGCATTTTGGATCCACATTATTATGTATGATATTTGCCTGAAAATTCCTAGTGAAAGACTCTGGTCTTGCGCTGCAAGAATAAAGCCTTCAGTTTCAGACTTTAATCCAGATGCTCGTAACCATCGATGAGTATTAACTTTATCAACATTGGGTTTATTTGCACGTTCTGGATATTGGCCATGCAGAGGTTTGTCTTGCCAGCGTTGTTTCATCTGTTCAAGGGCTTTATCCTTGGCTTTCTTTTTCATATCTTTTTGCTGCAATAGTTGGTTCTTGGCTTCTGTTTTTGATTTACTACAGAATCTACTAAATGTAAATGTTGTTTGTATTTACTGCCTTCTTTTTATTATTGAATATTTTTCTTTCTGTTTTCATGTTGTTTCACTAATTTTTTTATTATTATTATTATTATTATTATTATTATTATTATTATTATTCGATTTATTATTAGTTGGAAAGACCTAAGGCATTTCGTGGTGTGTTATTACGGCCATTTCATTTCATTTTTTTTTTTTTTTTTTTTTTTTTTTTATCCGATGAAGTTGCTAGCGTTACATTTCTCGTTAGTGTGTGGCCCAGAGACAATTTTCTGTATGTCTCTTCCTGGGGTTTCAGGATTCTTTCAATGTGTTGTTTTTGTTCCATTTTTATAATTCCAAAACTTACCTTGGATATTCTTGTTTTCAATTTCCATTTTTTCTATTTCAATTTCCAGGTCGTTATTTGAAGTTTTTCAAATTCTTGTTGCTATGTTCAATCCGCTGGACAAGCCTTCTTCAGTTTTTTCTTTTGGTTTTGACAATAATGTCTTCAATTTTCTGTCATGGATGGATAAACAGAATATCACTTCTATTTCTGTAACCGGCGCTGGCCGATTTTCATTGTTCACACATTTTCCAAAGTGTTTGCACATTGTCCAGGTATATTGCCCCCTCTAATTTTAATTCATTTTCAAGTATAGAACATCCTGAGATTAGATGGAATTTGTAAGAACCTGCATTTTTGGATCCACATTTGATTTGATATTTTTGAAAATTCCTAGTGAAAAGACTCTTTTTTTCACCGCTTTTTGTTTCAGACTTTGTCAGATGCTGAACCATCGATGAGTTTAACTTTTGTCAACACTTTTTATTTGGATTCTGGATATTGGCCATGCAGAGGTTTTTTCTAGCGTTGTTTCATCTGTTCAAGGGCTTTATTTAGCTTTTTAAATTGAAAAGATGATCTTGGCTTCCTGTTATATTTACGCTTCCTAAATACAAATTTGTTTATATTTATTCCTTCTTTTTTTTAAACATTCACCGTTTTTCTTGATGTTTCACTAATTTGAAAGTTTTTGTTTTTTGAAGATGGAATTTTTATTAGAATGAATATTACTATTATTATTATTATTATTACCATTACTGAAGGATTTCTGCCGTATAATGCATCAAATTTTCCCTTCTTCCTCGTTACGTCAGATAAGAAGCCTCTTCCTGATGTTACGATTTTAACCATTCTCTCAAACCTCTCTTTGAATAACATGTTAAAGGGTTTTCATTGTCGTTCTGTAGAACGACATTTCTACTTCAAGACTTCTTCATCTTTGAAGAGAAAATTCTCTGTCATAGGAAAAAGAAACGTAACCGTCCAGTGCTCTTTTCTTTTTTGTATATTTTAGTATCTTCCCCAATCTAACATTCTACATTTCTGTCCTGGAATAAAAACTGCCTCATATTTTTCACATTTGATTTCATTTTGAAGTCTTTTTTCACCGCTTTTTGTACTGTCATAGCTGAAACTCCTCTTTCACGTGTCAAACTTTTTATGGATTGAGTTGGATCTTTTCTAATTGATCTCTTTAGCTCTAAATTGAAAAGATGATCACTCTTCCTGTTATATTCTCCTGATACAGATTTCCTCTATACTATTCCCTCTTTTTTAAACATTCACCGTTCTCTTGATGGTTCTTGAAAGGATTTTGAAGATGGAAGCAAGAGAATGAATGTTGCTACCATTACTGAAGGACTGAATGATCTTTTCCCTCTTACCATTGCTCAGATAAGAAGAGACACAAAACGATTTTAACCTGTTCTCTTTCTTGAATAACTACTTTCATTGCTTCGTTCGACCGGTATCCAACCTAAACTTTAAATGGTCGGTACTCAGTTTTTGGTTGTTTTTAGATATTAAATCTTTTGTGAGATGGCTAATTAATATATATATATATATATATATATATATATATATATATATATATATATATATACATATATATTACGTTATATTATATAAATATATATATATATATATTTATATATATATATATATAATAAATGTATAACAAATGTTTTCTTGTAATCTCTACTTTCATTCTTTAGGTCTTCATCAGACTAAATTTGTTATGCGACTGTGCATGCGCACCAGCAAAGGATGATGGGAATTTAATATTTTTTAAAAATCTATCCGATTTTGCTTAAATTCTTTTTTATTTCTATCACTTTTGTTACTCGATATCGATAAGTTCTACTGGGAATAATGAAATATTGTAAGAGACAGAGAGAATGAGTGAGAGAGAGAAAAAGAGAGGCGTACGCACATACACACACACACACATATAGGTGGATGTGCATACGTAGTTTTATATATATATATATATATATATATATATATATATATAGCGGTGAATGTTTTGTTCAGAACCAACCAACACTTTTTGAAGAGCCGAATACAGACTTGGTGCGGCGTGTGCCACAAGTTTCACAAATGACCCTCTGACAGTTTTGAATTTAGAGTTGCATACAACCCAGTCTGTTCTACTATTTATCCATAGTTGAGGGGGAGAAGAAATGTATTCATATCTTTCCCAACGGTATTATTAAAACTTTCATATATATATATATATATATATATATATATATATATATATATATATATATATATATATATATAGATATAGATATATATCGGTGAAGGTTTTGTGCAGAACCAACCACATGCTTTGAAGAGCTGAATACAGAAACCTGAAGCACTACGTGCCACAATATTCCAAATGACCCTCCGCCTGTTTTGAAATCAGCGTTCCATATAACCCTGTTCGTTCTACTATTTATCCGTAGTTGGGGGGAGAAGAAAAGTATTCATATCTTTCCCAAAGGTATTAGCACATAATTGAATGTAATGAATTCGAACTCGGCTCTGCAATTCTTCAATCCGAGCCGCTAACCATTATTCCATCGTGCCTATGCACACACATACATACACACACACGCACACACACATATATATATATATATATGTGTGTGTATATTGATTGTGTGTGTGTATATATATATATATATATATATATATATATATTATAGATATAGATGTATGTAGATCAGATATGTATGAACGAATGTCCGTTTCTTGCTTGAACGTAATCTTCAGGTGGCAGATGGGCAAAGATCCCTGAAGATTACGTTCAAATATTAAACAGACTGTCACCCCTCTGCGTTGACCCCAGTGTCCACTTTTATATTTTATATTTACATATGGTCGATCCCTGTTATTGAGTGCTTTTACCCATAAATATGTCATACCATAAACCTATATTTTTATCATCTATATATCTTCAAAGAACTATCGAAATGCAACCATCTTGAAGTGGAAATTTTAAAAATGTGGCACATAAGGACATCAATGATTTCAGTTGTAGTTGGAGCCCTCGGATTGATTGGAAAAGGTTCCGATAGAATCATTGAAGGGATCCCTGGTAGCCCAAGCCTTAAATAATACAAAAAATTGTACCCACATAGTAAAAAGTAAAAGGTAAAGACTAAAAATGATATATATGTACAGGGTGTAAATACTTTTACAAAATATTGTTGTTTGGTTCTTCTCACCAAAATAAGTTCAAAAGTCCATATAAATATATGTCCGCAAATCCTTCGTTTTTGAATTATAAGTTTAAAGAAAGTTTACAATAGATGGCGCTATGTTGCCATGTATATTGATAGATGATACTTTGAGTTGCTGATTTTTGTATTATTAAATTGATAGATAGATAGATAGATAGATAGATAGATAGATAGATAGATAGATAGATATGTTTGTGTACAAGGTGCAATGGATGGAGTGTCGTCTAAATGACACAAAAATGAAAATAACATTGACATCTCATTTTAACAGATATATTTACCAAAATTATACACATTTTTCTGGTAATACTAACGAGTAAATCGATTCAATAAAATCGCCATTGGCTTCAACGAAGACTTCCAGACGACTTCGAAATCTCCTGCAACTCTTCTGAATGGTCTCCTTGTTTAAGTTGGTGAATGCTGCCATAATTCTTGCCTTCAATTCATCTTTGGTGTTACAAGGAATTTTGTTGGTCTCTCGCTCAACTGTGACCCACACACATAATAATCAAAGGGGCTGCAGTCTGGGGAGTTTGATAGCCAGATGTAAGGCGTTCTCTGATTGCAAAAATTGTCTGACAGCCATAAGTGGTTTCTCCTTGTGTGAAATGATGCAAAGTTCAGTTATCAGACATAGGGTCTTCCAACACCCACGCTCTTGACCCAGGGCAGCACTACTTCCTCAAGGCATGTGATGTAGGCCTCCATGTTGATTCTGATGTAGCAAATTCGTGACTGCTTTTCTTATCAGAGCGATTAGAGTGAGTTTTCCGAGCTGCCGTACCTTCGTAATCACCATTAGACTCTTCTCTGTCTTTAGATTGACACCCACTCTGAAATGTTCGTATTGGAGCTTCCGGTGTGAATGCCAAGCAGTACAGCATGCTGTTTCCAAATCTCTGGCGGAGAGAATTGCGTCATGGCGCTCTTTTTCTAATAGGCAGTGCCTAACTGACCCTACAATACTGTGCAGTCGGCAAAATCAAAAACAATCAAAGCGCATGAAATTAAAAATATAAAATGCCGACAATTTAGCCACACCATATATATATATATATATATATATATATATATATATATATATATAAAGAGAGGTTTCGTTAAATAATTTGGACATGTTCAGTTTACTTATTTTCGATAGTGGAGTCGGGAACGCTGTGTCATGGCGTGGCTAACAATCACCATTTAAGGTGAGGTATCTAGGTTTGTGGAAAGATTTCCCGATATGAGTAGTCGAAAAAATAAAGAAGAGAGAACTATTAGTACGTGCACTGACATTTAAAAAGTATTTATTGTACACATTTTAAAATGTTTGTGGGGTATTTATAATTAATTTTATTGAGGTTTGGTTTAAATTTTTGATATAAATAGCTTCAAGAATTTTCAGTTTGTGTTTATTCTTTTCGGGGAAAAGTATGGAAGTAGTTTCGACGAGGATTTTCTTGAATTGCGAATGTGGACAGGTGTATTGTAAATGTTTACAAATATTGGACGTGTTATTCACATGAAGACTTAGCCTAAGTGAAAGCGTTGTTGTCGTGTGACCAACATAGATATTATTTTATTGGAAATACAATTCCCAGAGGATATTTAAATTTATAAACAATGTTGGTTTTCTACAACACGCTAGTTGGATGGGAAGAGTCATTACGAATGATTTTATTAGATATAGTGGATTTAGTGGAGTATATAATTTTATTTTTTACTAGGATCTATGATGGAAGTATTAGATTTTATTAATTTTTTAGGATATTTTCGTTTTGTTTATAGTTTGCATGTATCTGGTTTTGAAACGTTTGATATGTTTAGTGTTAGTTGGAGGAGTATTGTGTTCTATTTGTTTTGCATAATGGTCTCTGATGGAAGAACTTATTTATTCGTCAACAATATAGTTAGGGAATTTATTATTGATGACTGTTTTATATTTTTTAGTTCGCTGTAGAAAATCTGTTTTGTGGATTAACTTTTTTTTTTGTATATATTTATATATATATATATATATATATATATATATATATATATATATATAAATTCTTTCCTGTAAGACTTGATTAAGAGCGAGTTGATTATTGCTAGGAAATTTACTAGGAAGTTTATTGTTAATGCTACGAATGAAAGTGATTAATTTCAATTAGTGTTATTTTACCGAAATTTTCTCTAATTACAATTAGGAATAAATTCATGAAATAGTACTGAAAAATTTTATTTCCTGAAACTAACCCGCATGCGTACCATACATCACCATTTTTTTTTTATTTTTTGTTTCGCGTACCGTACATAAGTTTTTTGTTTTTGTTTCGTTTAATGCCGATTTAAGCAAGCGAATTTTTCACATCTTTTACTATTTAATGGAATCAATTTTCGTTTTGAAATCTGTTTAGACGTCAATACCAGTATAAGTTCAAATGCCGAATGATGAAAGAAAGCATATAATCTTACTGACTCTTATTCACGTATTTGGAATATTATACAGTGAATATTTCAGATTCAATTTCTCTCTATTTTCCCATTTTGTTTTTCTCCCTGATTTCGTAATTTCTTGCATAATTTCTTTCTCACTTTCTTTGTTTCTCTTTTTGTCCCTTTCTCTTTTTTTGTCTTCATTATTGACTTACCTTCTTTTTTATTTAATTTTTTTTTTTTTTTTTTTTTTGGTTTTTGCTTTTTCCTTTTTCTTCCTTTCTATTGATGCTTTTTTATTTTTCCCCTTTTCCGACTACTCTCTTTTACTTTCTCTTTCTTTCTTTTTCTTTGATACCTTTTTGTTTTCTTTATTTTTTATGTCTCCTTTTCTTTCTTTCTTTCTTTCTTTCTTTCTTGCTTGCTTGCTTTTTTACCTTTATTCTTCAAATACTTTACACTCCATTTTTCATTCCTTCCTTCATTTCTAACTTCTGCTTTTAGGGTCCATTTTCTTCTTCATTTGTATTTCCCTTATTTTCTCTTTCATATTTTTTCCTTAGCCTTTCATTCCGCCATTGTCTGCTTACTATCTTTTTTCCTATCCTTCTTTTTATTATGGATGTGCGGGTGGTGTAATGCATAGCGGCTCAGGATGAGAAATCGGAGAGCCAAGTTCGAACTCTAGTCAAGTTTGTTACATTGACTTACGCGAAAATACTCCTGGAAAAGGTATTAATCCGTTTCTTTCTCCAGTTATGGGTTAAACAGTTGCATTTATATCTGGAAAAAGTATGATTAATCTAAAAGAAATTGTTAATGACATATTCAGTAACAAAATATGTATTTTTCTTATAATTCAAAATGTTTTTCAGCTTTGAATAAACCACAATTGGTTTGGTAAGCCTAAAAACAAATACAAATCAGTTTTTTTTTTTTCAGGCATTTTCTTTCGTTTCTTCTACTTTTCCATTTTGATTTTTCTTCATTTATTTCCTCCTTTTTCTTTTCCTTCTCTGCATTTATTTCTTTCTATCTCTAGATTTCTTTCTCCTCTTCTTCAGTCTTTTCCCTACATTTTTTCTTTCTTTCTTTCTTTCCTTCCTGTCTTTTCTTCTATTTTTTCTTCCTTTTTTTATTTTTCTTGCCTTCCTCCTTGATTTTATTCTTTATTTTTAATTTCATATTCTTCTCCCTTCGGCTTTCCGTCCCAAAAACATCATTCTTTCTTTTTCTTTCTTTCTTTCTTTCTTTCTTTCTTTCTTTCTTTCTTGTGATTCCTTCCTTACGTCCACCCTTCCTTCCTTTAAATATCCATCCCTCCTTCCCTTATTCATTTATTCGCGCAACTTTTCTTCTCGTTCTATCTTTCTTTCTTTCTTTCTTTCTTTCTTTTTCTTTCTTTCTTTCTTCTCATCCTTCTGAATTTTATTCGTTGTCCCTATTTTTCTTTCTTTTTTCCCTTTTTTTCCTTTTTTCTTTCTTTTTGCTTTCATTTTCTCTCTTTCCCTTTCACACTTAAACCTTTCCCCTCACTTCTTCCACTGAAAAGCTAATTTCAAAAACAAACTCAGGCCAAACTCTTTTGCTTGACTAAATTCTTACGTTCAGTTTTCAAATCGGCTGACAACTAGAAACGCTATGAATCGACCAATCTGAATTTTAAAACCATCGTAATCGTTCTCAAATACTTTCCATGCGTTCAAATCTTGCCAAGGGGTAAAAAAATGGCGGAAGGCTTGAAGAGGGTGAGATAAAAGTTTCTATGGAAGCGCGCCGGGCATCCGGGTCATTCCTTTTTAGCTTCATTTCATCATACGTGCTTCATGCGAAAACAAATGGAAATTTTATTTTTCGGTTTTATATTTCCTTTAAATTATTCTTAATGCCTTGTTTCAGTGTCTTTTTTTTTTTGTATTTGTTTTATGATATGAATTGATTTGTTATTGTTTGTTTACATTTTCTTTCGCATTTCTGAACCGACGCTTTTCTTCAGTGAGATGTGGCTCTTCCGGTTCGATGTCTGTTCGTGCGGACGCGACCAATGAACAACAAGGTTCATTGTAGACACGTTGCGATTTCGAATCAAAATAAAATACGAAGAATATAAAACATTTCTGTTTTGTTTCGAAAATTTAAAAGGTGACACTCGTCACTTTCACTTCAGCGCGAAAATGTTCACAAATATTTTTTTTAAATCTGCAAAATATCTTTCTTTCTTTCTTTCTTTCTCTACTTCTTTTCTTTCTATTTGTCTTTTCTATTCTTTTTTTAATTATTACTTTTTCTATTTAATCTCTCTTCTCCGACACGTTAGCTATTCTATTTTCTCTTTTTTTTTTCTTTTCTAACTCATTTTCTTTCATTTTCTCTCAACCATTCTTTCTTCTTTCTTCTTATTTCTCCATCTCTTTCTCTCACTCTTTCCCGATTTATTTTTTTTCTCTTTCTCTTTCTGTTTCGTTCTTTCTTTCTATAAAGATTCTACTTCTTTTCGAACGTTCTATTTTCTTTCTTTCTTTCTTTCTTTCTTTCTTTATTTCTTTCTTTCTTTCTTTCTTTTCCTCTCATTGTTGCTATTCTCCATGTGTTTTTTTTTATTTTATTCTCCTATTTTCCAAATGCGTTTATTCTTTCCTTCATTCTTTCTTTCTTTCTTTCTTTCGTTCGTTCGAACATATTTTTTTTACTTTTATTTCTCTATTTTCAAAATGCATTTCTTCTTTCTTTCTTCTTTCTTTCTTTCTTTCTCTTTTTCTTCGTTAATATACAGCATCATTCTGTTATTTCATTCTTTTCTTTCTATTTGTCTTTTATTTCCTTTTTTAATTATTACTTTTTCTATTTAATCTCCCTTCTCCAACAAGTTATCTTCTCTTTCTATTTCTATTTTCTCTTCCTTCTCTCTTTTTCTTTTCTAACTCATTTTCTTTCATCTTCTCTCAGCCATTCTTTCTTTATTCTTCTTATTATTTCCTTCTTTCTTTCTATTATCTTTTTCTTTCTTTCTTTCTTTCTTTCTTTTTTTAGTTTGTTCTTTCTTTAATGCATTATTCTTTTTCTTGTCAAACTTCCTTTTTCCTCTTTCTTTGTATTCCTTTTCTCTTCTTATTTCTATTTCAGTTTATCTCCATCTCTTTCTCTCACTCTTTCCCGATTTATCTTTTTTCTTTCTTTTTCTGTTTCTTGTTCGTTCTTTCTTTCTGCTCTTTCTTTCTATAAAGATTCTACTACTTCTTTTCAAATTTTCCAGTTCTCTCTTTTTCTTTCTTTCTTTCTTTCTTTCTTTCTTTCTTTCTTTCTTTCTTCCTTTTTCTTTCTTTCTTTTATTTGATTCGTCGTTATTATTCCCTTGTCTGTCTTTCTTTCTTTTCCTCGCTACTCTCAATATCTTAAACTTGGCATTTGACTTATCCTGACTAGACAAAAGAAGAGAGAGAGAGAGAGAGAGAGAGAGAGATCAAGTTCCACGGATATTTAAGTAAAGAATCTTGGTTAACTTTCTTGAAAATCGACTTTAAAAATTCTAGTTATTTTAGCTAAATTAGAACACTGATCACAGGCAATAATGTGAAAGATGTACACTTAGTTGCAAGGCAAGCCACCCATGAATTTTCCTTCTTTACTTTCTTCACACCTTCATTCTTCTTTCTTCATTTTTTCCTTTTCATTTCATAATTATTTGATTATTTTAATTAAATTATAATATATATATAAAAAATCTATCTATCTATCTATCTATCTATATCTATCTATATCTATCTATCTATGTCTTTCTCTCGCTCTACATATGTATACACACACACATACATATATATATATATATATATATATACATATATATATATATATATATATATATATATATATATATATATATATATATATATATATATATATATATATATATATATATATATATGTGTGTGTGTGTGTGGGGGGTATGTGTGTGTGTGTGTGTGTGTGAATAGATAAATTTGAACAGACATAGATAGATTTGAACAGACATAGATAGATAGATAGATAGATAGATAGATAGATAGATAGATAATAATTGATAATGGCTTATGTAAGCCGAAAGCTTAGATCCGATTTAAACATGTATCAATATGGTGATTTCCTTTCGTCTTTCAATGATAATGTTATTGCTTTTATCAGACAATATGAAAGGAACTTACTTAAAATAAATAGACAAAACTTGTCTATATTATTTAATGAAACATGCATCAATGAAACATTGCTGCCTAAATATATATATATATATATATATATATATATATATATATATATATATATTGCGGAAACAGTTCATGGTGGCTGGTTTCACACTTCAACCAAAATTCAGATCGTAATCTGAAGATCGCTTATAGCGCGAAAAAAAATTTACGATGTTAACACGGGGAGCAACTAGTCAAATGAAATTAAATCTAGTTATTAGATCTTTAAACTCCTTTATCCTCGACATTGTACTAATAGTAGTCCATATAATAGTCTTTTAGCTGTTTGTATTACCCAGAGGATGCATTTTCATTATTTCTTTTGACTAATATTCTGTTGTATGCAGCTGATAATTTAAATACTTATACGTAATTTTGACCCCATGTATGACATCCATACGAGTCAGCATAAAACCAAAGTCGTATTTTATTTTTTTTTTAAATATGAAAAAATAACCATTTTCACTGTTTCCTTTCGTAGACAGCAGATCTTAAAAAATTATGTGTTCGCTGTGAGAGGATCCGTGAAAACGGAGACCAAATCCATTTCTTTTAGCAACAACTATTTTATTTAGGTATCAACAACTGTACTAAATAGGTCCGAAATGTTTAGCCTCAGTAATGAGGCCAGAGCACATCTCAAAAGTGATTGATAGGATTTTCGTTGAAAGGTAAAAAAAAAATAGTTAAAGTTGTTAGTACTCGGCGAGTCAGGATTTGGCCAACTCGTATTGTCTCGCACATGTTTACTTGTAACAACAGCCTCTCGATTTCAACTGTCAGTGTCCAGCCAGCGTCCAGTAGGGACAAAGGAAGATCATGGACATTGCTTCTACCCCTCGGGACAGTATGCAGCGCACGTCCGACTATTCTTATTCAAGTTTTATGTTCGATCTGACGTCGCAAAAGATATTGAAGCTGGGGTTGGGAGATGAAAAGAAGAAGAAAAGAAAGAAAAGATAGAAAGTGTCAAAGATAATAGAAAGTAAACGAAACAAAGAAATAAGAGAAAGAGAGATAGACTGAAAGAGAAAGAAAGATAGATTGAACAAGAAAGAGAGAAAGAGAGATAGATTGAAAAAGAAAGAGAGAAAGGAGACCAATAACAATATAGATGGAAACAAACGTTTCTCAGCAAGAGTCTGCTTCCGTAGTCATCAATAGTTATATATATATATATATATATATATATATATATATATATATATATATATAGATAGATAGATAGATAGATAGATAGATATAAATGTAAAAAACAGGTTAACTCTGAGAAATTTTTCATATATATATATTAAAATAATGAGAAAGTACAGTAAGATTTATAATCTGGTGTTCTTATTAATTATTTTTATTTTTGAAAAACAGTGCTCACTGCAATTCTCTAAATCACTACACAGGAATTACCATGTTTCAAAAACAGAAACTAAAACCTTAAATTTAATTATAGAATTAAATTAAAATCCCTTGTACTGTTTTGGAATTCCAAAAATTGCTTGAAAATGAAACAGTACTAGGGATTTTATTTAATTCTATAATTAAATTTAAATTTTATTTTCTGTTTTTGAAACATGGTAATTTTGTGTATGATTGTACCATTTAAATTTTAAATTAGAAATTTACACACACACACACACACACACACACACACACACATATATATATATATATATATATATATATATATATATATATATATACCGGTGTAACAGCAAAATTGTCTATTTGTTAGATTAAGATTTGAACCTGTGTATCTTTGAAGTGATTAAAGATATCTTGCTGGAATTCTCCGAAGTTTTCATAACACTATTGGACTCTACTTTAAGCAATAAGAATGTATAATTACTCTTTAAGCTTAACGTAAGAAATGTGATAAGATCGATCATAAATGAAAATGACATGTTTATCATTAATTAATCATAGCTAAGGATCGGAAGCTCATGAAGAATTGAAATAAAGTTCATATATATATATGACGCGAATTCAATGTATGAGGGTCAAGCAGATCAGTTCCTAGGAAATCGACAGCCCGACAACCAACCCACATGAGATTTGATTATAGTTGTGAAGTTTTGTGCAGAACCATCCACATTTTTTATATATATATATATATATATATATATATATATATATATATTCTAAGATCATTTTACAACTTATTCAAGATGAACTTCGCCCTCTCTAACTTTCTAACATTATGTCCGGGAGTAACAAGGTGCCTAACAAGTTTCACGTAGGATTTCATTTTCAATTTTTTCTCACTGCTCTTTGGACTCTCATAGCTAAAACTCCTCTCTCAGTGTCAAACATCTTACGGATTGACTTGGATCTTTTCTAATTGATTTCTTTAGCTCTAACTTGAAATGATGTGTCCTCTTGTGTCCTCCTGATCCAGTTTTCCTCTCTACTGTACCCTCTTTTTAAAAATTATTCACCATTCTCTTGATGGTTCTTGAATAGACTTTGAAGACGGAAGCCAGAGTATGAATTTTACTACCATTATTAAAGGTCTGAATGATCATTTTCCTCTCATCATTGCTAATTTGGGAAGACAGACTTGATCTCTTCCTAACAATAATTCAACGGGTTTTTCAGTGATTCTTACGACAGATGCTGCCAAGATATCTAAACGTCTTAACTGAAATCTGAGTGTTTTTTTTTGTTTTGTTTTTAAGATATTAAGCATATTGTTGATGGACAATTATGCTGTTACACGACTTGGACAATTTTGCTGTTACACGCGATATACATACATACATATGTGTGTGTGTGTGTGTGTGTGTGTGACGTCACGAGTAACTTACCCTGTTAGGGTCAGAACATATACTAGAACAATAGTAGCAATGGATGTGTCTCTGGCAAGAGAGCTTGAAGGAGACCATGCCTCTTCAGAATTTAGAAATATCATTCTCCTCGACTGATTGCCACCCCAAAACAAGAGATCCCTGTCTGGTATTTAAACCCATAAATCAGTACAGACCGGAATTTGGACACGGCCCACCGTTTTTACAGTCCGTTCCTTTAAGATACATTATCCGCTCAACCATGTATATATATATATATATATATATATATATATATATATATATATATTCGATCATTGAATATAAGAAAAGTTGGACTAATTCAGTCCCCATAGCCTTGGTTGGCAAGCAGTCAACGAAAAGGAAATTCTGAATGAACACCATCCTTGAGAGTTTAGTCATCTTTCCTTAAAAATTGTAAATTTTTTTTCTTTCTTTCTTTCTTTCTTTCTTTCTTTCTTTCTTTTTGTTTTCTTTCTTTCTTCTTTTTTCTTTCTTTCTATCTCTATTTCGTTATAGTTCTTTTCAAACTTACCAGTTATCTCTTTTTCTTTCTTTCTTTCTTTCTTTCTTTCTTTCTTTCTTTTTTTCTTTCTTTTTTCTTTCTTTCTTTTCCTCGATTTCTTGCTACTCTCAATGTCTTTTTACTTTCATTCCTTTTTTCCAAATGCATTTATTCTTTATTTATTTATTTCTTTTTGATTTCTATCTTTCTTCTTTTTCCTTTTTCTTTCTTTCTTTCTTTCTTTTTTTCTTTCTTTCTTTCTTTCGTTCTACTTCTTTTCAAGCTTTCCAGTCTTCTCTTTTTCTTTCTTTCCTTCTTTCTTTCTTTTCCTCGATTTCTTGCTACTTCCAATGTCTTTTTTTACTTTTATTCCTCTATTTTAAAATGTGTTTATTCTTTTTCTTTCTTTCTTTCTTTCTTTCTTTCTTTCTTTCTTTCTTTCTTCGTTAATATACTGTCTCTTTTTGTCATGTCATTCTTTTCTTTCATTTCTTTCATCCGACTTTCATTGCTGCATATGCTTTATGTAAATTTGTGATACAGCCGTCAATGCCACGATATCTATCGAGTATCCATCTTTGAAGTGTCGGTCATTAAATTTCATCCCATTTTTGAACTTTTAGTATCTTCATCGTGGCTTTTTTTTAATTTTCATACCACCTTTCATCTTAAGATAGTAAAGAGGTATATATTTTGTTCATCCATCTTGTTTAGTACACAGACTGAACAACAGATGGCGTTATTGCTTAAAGTGGATAAAAAAATTACCTCAAAGAGATAAGACGATTTCTGTATTTATGATGTTTAAGAAGTTCATTTCGCACCACAAATGGTGAATTGTTCAGTTCTCCTTGTGTAAAACCCCATCCACGATGGAACTAAGTTAAGACTGAGATTGATTCTTCTTCGCAGCCTGTGAAGTTCAATTGTTGGACGTTGACCTTGTCCTTCGGGAGGATTCAGCCATTACCCTCAATAAAGGCGGGTAGGGCGAATGTGATACGCTTGGGCGATCATCTCTCTGATTCATGATTGCCCAATGTTATTTGTTCGAAAGTGAATATGAATGGAATTCGAACCCAGCTCTCCTATTTCTCATTCCAAGCCTTTCTACATTACACCACCCGCGCGTCTACAAAAATACTGTGGAAATATTATTTAACATTGTCAAACATGTTTTTTTCTTTTTCTTGTCTTAAATCGCGTTCTTCTCTTAACTGTCGAAAATTATTGGAACAGTTACATCAATCATTTTGTTTATTTTTATATCTGAATGATTTAGTACGGCCACATCACGTTGAAACACGGATTCCGTAAGATCATCGAAGTTAAGCAACGTCGAGCCTGGTCAGTACCAAGATCGGTGAGCGCTTAGAAATGCCAGGTACTGTAAGCTTGGATAGGCGGGTGGTCTATTGGATAATGGCTCGGAATTTTTAATCGAAGAGCAGAGTATCCATTCCAGTTGGGTTCGTTATAGCTGCACGGGCAAATACCCTCTGAAAAGGTATGAATCCAAATCTTTTCCCCCAGCTATGGGTTAATTAGTAAGACTAGTGTTACTAAATCCATTATTATCTAAAAAGAATAAAATAAAATTTCGTACAGAATCTTTAGATTTCGGCATTAAATAACCTGTAGACGTCGATATGCTGCTAAACAAAAATCAACAAATCAACGGACCTATTGAAGACAAGAGGAACAAGCAGCTGGTATAAATAAATAACAGAACTGGGTTTAGAAGAGATAAAAAAAGACAACATTTATTAAGTGCTACAAAGACCAAGAAATTGTGGAGAGCCATGATCGCCAACGTGCTCAAGGAACAAGGCGCATAGAATAAAAAGAATGGATTTGGTTTTAACGTTTTACATGGAATTAACGGTAGACTTATGATGTGTTGGTCGGCACCGGCTTCCATCCGATCATCGGGATCGTCAGATTCTCTCCCTATTCCTGGTGGAGGTGGCGGAGATGAAGTTTGACGAGACCATTCGCGTGAATTTGATTTTGGTGGACAACTCAGCACGACGGAGAAGTCCACACACTGGGCCAGAAGCGCTTCCCTCGCTGCTCAAAGAAATTGAGACAGGCGAGATCTGGTAAACCTGGTTGCATCGGGCTCTAGCCAACCCAACTGGCTCTCTCCGGTTTGGCCGTTGAGAACGTGTAGATCAGAGGTCAGCAACCTACAACACGCGTGCCACACCTGGCACGCCAAGCAATATCCAATGGCACTCAGTCGCAAATGACATCACGAAGTCCGAACCAATAACAACTACAATACAAAGAAACTATTTAGCTGTTTCAGTTTTAATATATAATAAATTACATATACTATATATTACAATATAAAATATATTGTAGAACAGGTATATTGACTTGTATAAAAATACGTATGTTGTTGGCACACTGAATGATTTTAAAACCTTAAGTCGGCACTTAGCAAATAGTTGCCGACCCCTGGTGTAGATTTTTGCCTATTCCGCCGTTGGGATCTTCGGGGGTTGGTGGCATTCAGTCTAGTCTTTCCTCTTCGACCTTACCGCCATTATGTGGTTTATCGCTATTGTATATCGACTTCTGTGGCAAATGTTCAGGCGCGTTACACTCTTTCGAGCTACCAATTTGGTGTTTTACACCCAAGACAAGCACGTCCTGGGTAAGACGATAAACTACATCCACGTCCTGGCTACATCCAACAGGGGGTTTTGAGGAGCTTAGAACCGCCTCTTGATTGCTGGTGTTCCCAGGTCCACCCTGGCCCGGGATGGTGGCGCCTGTTGGGGTCCCAGCTGTGAGCAGGTGGTTAACACCCCGAACTGGGGGTCAAAGCACTATCACCAGCAGTAAAAATTTTATCGGTATTAAATAACCTATGTAGATTGATAGGCCGTAAAACAAACCAAACCAAACCTTACACAAGCATTGCTGCTTGCAAAGGTTTGAATCAACGTTGGAAGTTATTTAAACAGTTTCAATGGAAGCAGTTCTCCTGAATCCTTCGAATTTCAGATGAAGATGGATTTCCTGGGATTTTCTTAATGTGTCTGTTAATATTCTCCTTAATTATTCTTGAGGATCCGTTCCCGACTGAAATAATGGTAGTATTTAAAGAACACTTTCTTTTTCTTCATCTTTATATTGGGAAAGTATATTAAATCTTTTCTCGTTTAACTTACTGTTAGCAAGCTTTGATGTTAAGCAGTTACTATAAACCTTTCTCTTTCTTTCCCAGAGTTCCGTCATAACAGATGGGTTTGATTATTATTATTATTATTATTATTATTATTGTTGTTGTTATTATTATTATTGCTAGTGTTAACCCATGATAATATAACGATTTTCCTAGCTGAATATTCTGTTGAATCTTAAATCTTCAGTTAATGATAGTGTAAGCTTATGGCGAGTTCTACAAAAGTAAAATATCCGTAGAAATTCCCTTATATCACTGTTAAATTTTTGAGCTTAACAACTTTAACAAAATATGGCAATAGCAATCATAAATATGAATGCTTGTCATTATTTTAAGAAGTGGGTACAAATAAAAAGATTTGAAGGTGATAACTATTTCCATTTCCCTGTAACAGCCGTTAAACAATTCTGTCTTCCCTTTTTTCTTTCTTTATATGTTTTATTTTCTCACTGAAACCAAGTAGTGTCTTTTCTCCCTCTTTCCACACGATCAAATAGCCCATTATTTATTGGGTATTGGCAGGGCGGAACGGTCGTACGAATTTACGAAGAGAGTTACAAACACAATTATAATAAGATTATTATTATTATTATTATTTCCTTTGATTTCTGGTGAGTACACATTTTAGGGGGTAGAAGGTGAGGCGGAAGAGGGTAGCAGGTGAGGCAGAAGATGGTAGCAGGTGAGGCGGAAAAGGGTAGCAGATGAAGGTTAAGAGGATAGCAGGTGAGCCGGAAGAGTGTAGCAGGTGAGGCGGAAGAAAATAGCAGGTGAGGCGGAAGAGGGTAGCAGGTGAGGCAGAAGAGGGTAGCAGATGAGGCGGAATGATTGAAAGACAATCAAAGATTTAGAAACAGTTTCAAATAATTTATATGCCAAAAATATATATGATTTCAAAATTTTAAATATTATTATGGATTACTTGTAATTGAATGACTGAGTCCCAGTATAAGTAATTACTGAGTTATTTTATCAGTGTGATATTTTTGCATGATATCAAGTATTAAGAATATAGTAACTATCGGTCCGCAATTTGGAGGAGACAGTTATCAATAATAATATTCTGACTTCAAATCCGCGGTTATCTCCCTTTAACCTTGTCTCTGTTTTATTTCTGAATCTACTTTTTATCAGATAAAATTTGGTGAGGCGCGAGCAAATTTTAATTCCAAAAATGCGGCACAGATAAAAAAAAAAAAAGTTTAGGAACCACTGAAAGATGACTATGGCAACAAATTGAATAGTACAAACATACAAACCCAAAATATACTCATCATGAAATCTGGTCTGAAGAAGGGAGAAATTATAAGAATATCTCCGGGTTTATGTAGACTTGTCATCTTTCTCGTGTTCAAATCCATTTAAAAATGTCAGCTGGATACAAAAATTCAAAATGAAATCGGAAAATATCTAAATAAAAAATATTTAAATATAAATTATCTTAATATTTAATATCTAAGTATAAAATATTTTCCGATTTCTTTTTGAATTTGTAGTTTTGATGAATTGGATCGTGATTACGATTCCAATGTAATAAATTATAACCATGGAATATTAGTGCTTAAGCTTTTTTTTATATATATATATATATATATATATATATATATATATATATATATATATATATATATGTGTGTGTGTGTGTGTGTGTGTGTGTGTATGTATATACATGTGTGTGTGTGTGTGTGTGTGTGTATAGTCTTACAATCATCCAAATACAAACATAAATATAGTTTAAATACAAATATACGCATTTTTAACATATTCTCAAATATAATGCGCATATACAATCATATCATTCACATATCCACATATACAAATATATGAGTGTATACAACCATACTTACATAGATATACATAGATACATACAATTATATTATTACAACTTATGTCTACATATTCGTCATACCTATTTATAGATATATATATATGTGTGTGTGTATATATATATATATAATGTAAATACAAACAATTATTTTCATTTCATGGGTGACAATATAATTATAATCTTATAAGATAATTAAATAAAGCCTAAATTATGGAATATAAAATATTAATATATATTTTTAATCATGCAATAATCTGGCAACCCTTAATCTGAGCTCAATGAAAATTATATTTCATAATCTAGGTTTTACTTAATTAGCAATTATGTTTCTCTAACTCTTCAAATGTTGAATGTATAACTAATTCTAATTTTCCATCTTTACACTATATTAATTTGATCTTATAAATTGTCCCCTGTTCTGTCAGCTATAAAAAAAATAATTGGTTGTACGGAAAATAAGAATCTAAGTACATCAAAACGTCTTTAAATTAAGTGGAAGCAGACGAATTAGCGTTGAACTTTTAAAAGGTAAGCATGGCAACTGGTCAACCGTAGAAAAAAATGACAACCTACTGCAGGAAAAAATCGAAAGATACATGATCGCCTAAACGTGTATCACGCATGGCACATAACTGACTGATGGCATCTACACCTCTCTAGGGTATTGTGTTGATGGCGAAACCATGAGTCCTCCACAGGAGCTAGCTTAAATGCAGTCCGATAAGGCGATTTTTAAGCTAGTTTATAATAAAACGTGCAATGCAATTTGGATACAAAATGAAAATAAGAGTTACTCCCCCTTCGAGCATGAAAGCAACGATAATGGCTAATATAATATATTTATATATATATTTAAGCTCGAATAATATGGCAACCTGAATCTGAGCTCAATGAAAATTGTTCCCTGTGCCTAATTTTTCTAGGGCTTTTCAATGAGCTCTGAATCATTGAAATCCGACCAGTGGGAGCTCTTGAACACACACGCACAAACACACACACACATAGACTGTACTTTTATATATATATATATATATATATATATATATATATATATATATATGAAGAAATATACTCTTAATGTGTTCTATATTTATGGGATAAAGTGCTCAATATCAGAGATAGAGCGTGTGTAAATATAAAAGTGATAGATAGATAGATAGATAAAAAATTGTATATGTGAGCGTGCGTACTTTTCTTCTTATTCGTGTCATTCCTATCAACATGGTAAGTTCGTATTTAAGAGGAGAAAATGCCTGTAAACTACATAAAATTGTATTTACATAATTCTTCTAAAATCTAGATGCATATATCGTTATTTACCAAGGATTACGCGCCCCATCCCTGACAATGCAACTAAAGTCCGCTCAGAATAAATGCAGCGTAAACAAGAGGTGGGCACTGAAGGTGTTGAACAAACATGAATGTGCCTGTAACAGGTGTCTGTAACAGGGACTGTCTAATCGCCTTAGGAGTAGGTTGTGCTCAGCAATGATTAGCAGACCATTATTAATAACCTTTGCCACAGTTATATCAAAGAAATTGAAATGTGTTGAAGATATTTAACGTACGATAGTTTCAATCAAAACAAAATATTTAAAAGAATTGTCCGCTATGAACAATTGTTTCATTAAGAAAGGCCATAATGAAAATAAGTGACATTTTTATTTCTATTTTAGTCTTTATTTATCTGATATCTTCCAATGACGTAAACTAATCTGAGGGCATTTACGTTGATCGGAAACCAGGGTCATTTATCTTCTTGAAACATTCTAATAAAAATTTCAGTTAAATACAAAAAGGTTAGAATTACTGAAAATAATGTTTAAAAATAAAATGCAAACTTGAAAGCAAAAAAAAAAAATGTTGGAAATCCCCTATAAAAGAAATGGAATTACTTTTACCTTTGACAATCCAAGATAAAAAGAGAATTGGAAAAAGTTACATTAAATTGAATTCCGAATTATCGCTTTAAATTATCTATACTCTATTCACGTATTTAACGGGCTGAGAAATAGTGACACTTCACCCGCATTGAGTGAGGTCGTAGAAGGGACCGAAATAGATAGATAGATAGATAGATAGAACAAACTGAGATAGATAGATAGATAGATAGATAGATAGATAGATAGATAGATAGATAAATCTAACAGATTTATATAGATAGATAGATAAATTTAACAAATTTAGATAGATTTAACAGATTTGATAGATAGATAGAAAGATAGATAGATAAATTTAACAGATTTGGATAGATAGATAGATAGATAGATAGATAGAGAGATAGATAGATAGATAGATAGATAGATAGATAGATAGATAGATAGATTTAACAGATTTAGATAGATAGCTAGATAGATAGATAGATAGCTAGCTAGCTAGATCGATAGATAGATGATTTAACAGATTTAGATAGATAGATAGATAGATAGATATAATAGACTGGCCATAGATAGATATCTCGTGTAAAATACGCGCTGATATTTTAGAATTTGCAATATAGTTAAATTTGACTAAATTCATTTGGATCTGAGAAATAGGAAGTTGAATTGAATTATGGTTGAACTTTGCGCCTCACGAGGTTTTATACCGATTTTTTTTCAATGTACCGATTTGTAGAGCAATGTGTGTAGAAATATATATTCTTTGCACGATGATTTCTTGAACGTTCAGGCTGGTAGGCGAAATATAATAGGGTTTAAAATAAACGGAGCATCAACTTAAATATGTCCTAGAAATAACGTTTCAAGTTACACACACACACACACATACACACACACACGCACACACACACACACACACATATATATATATTTAAAAATTATAACAATTATGTTAAAAATCACTACAAAAATAGCCATTTTCGTTTCAACACCTCTGGTGTCTTATCAATGATGTTGTTGAAGATAGATTGTTGGTTATTGGAATTTATTCCGTATACACTAATCATATACTTATATATATATATATATATATATATATATATATATATATATATATATATATATATATATAAGTGAACATTGAAGTCAACACTCAGAGGTGACAGGCTGTTTCATGCTGGACGCAATCGTCAGGCCGCCTGACGATTGCGTCGAGTATGGAACAGTCTGTCTCTGAGTGTTGACTTCAATGTTCACTTTTTATATTTATATTTACATACGCTCTATCTCTGATATTGACCACTTTATCCCATAAATATAGCAACCTTAAAACTATATTAAAACTATATTTATATTATATATATATATATATATATATATATATATATATATATATATATATATATATATATATATATATATATATAATATATATTACTGATTTACGCGACCTATTTCAGGCGGTAAGAGTGACGAGATACTCAGATTTTTATTATCAACTAGCCTAAGAACCGCTGTTCGGACGTACCATATGTTAACTCCTGTGGAGGGCTTTTGGGCATTCAGCATTTTACTTACATTATCTTATGAACGTAAATGTTATAAGAAATTAGAAATAATAAAGTTATTTTATCTTTATTCGACACCTTAATTCGGCTGAATCTTTCTTCGTATACGCAACCGATCTCCGTAATTTGTTTATATTTATTTTGCTCGCAGTTTTTATTTTCTTTTAAAATCACCATCCTTTCACATAAAGTCATTCTTAAAAAACATTAGGGAAGCTGAACTATGTAATATTTCGAATACGCCACAGTATGCATGATAGATCAGTTGAATTTACGAGGAAAAGTGAAATTAAAGTTAAACCTTTAATAAAGAATTTTTTTTTTAAACCTTTCACTCTATTCGATATTTAAATTTAATTTTAAATGAGTTATTTATTTAATTTTTAATCTCGTGTAACTACGGTAGTTATTGTTACTTCAGGTTGTTTATGATTCGCCGAGATTGAAAAACGGACGGACGGACGGACGTACACTGCGCTTTATTTATATAGATAGGCTCAGTTTTGTATAATTTTATATATTACATTGTGCACTCTGGCCAATTGTGACGAAATACGCATTTGCTTATTGAGATTTCCTGTGTCCATACTTTAGGGACAACCTGTATAGTGGAAAGAGAGGTAAATCAACTGAAGGTGGTATATTTATTAGTGGTTACTTCCCTTAGTGATTTTAATAGTCTTTACAAAACATATTTCTCTGCATTTAGGCAAAATTAGTTACCGAGCAATATGAAACATTAAACAGTTCCTTTACGCCTACGTTTATTAGACTGCAGTCTTATTTGTTTAAACATTTCATGTAAGATATCTTTGTCTATTGAGCATTTTGCTTCAACTTTGGCTTGTGATAAACTTCGTCGTCGCCGTCTTTGCTGTTCTGTTGCTAATCTTTGTCTATCGAGAGGTGCTTCCATAGTTACAGATAAATCAAACACGTTAACTTTTAACATGAATATATTGATCAAAAAGTGAATTATATAACGCTAAATCAATGAATCATAGATACCATATTTACAAATTAAGACTTTCCAACAATTGCCTCTATTTTGAAAAAGGTGATTATACTAGTGTATATATATATATATATATATATATATATATATATATATATATATATATATATATATAAGATGAACAAATTGCAAAGAAGATTTAATATTTGTTTTCGTTTTTTTTTTTATACTAGGAAATTGAGTACTTATATGTTAGTTGAGAGCATATATATATATATATATATATATATATATATATAAGTACTCAATTTACTAGTATAAAAAAACGAAAACAAATATTAAATCTTCTTTGCAATTTAAGTTCATCTTGCTGTGAATTACGTCGAAATTCATTACTCCCACCCCGAATAGACATTCTTCAGAGACAATCTCCCTGAAAAGCTTTTGGTATTAAAAGCACGCACGACGCCAGAAAATTGGACGTTAAAGAAAGTGCCGGGTTGCAAATTGCGTTCACACCCAGTATTGGCAAAGACAATCTTCATCAGAAATTATCGGTATTTCGCACGGGGAAAGGTGTTTGTCATGTCACTGCGCTGAACGGATCGTCTGTGTGAGCTAAAAGAGGCGGCTTCTATCTTTAACATACTTTCATTATTGTTGTCAAGTGGCCAGAGATCAGGTACGGTACACAAGTCGGGCCGTTAGAGATTGGCAACTCTTATGAAATTTTGCACTTAAAGACACAAGCGAACGAGGCACATTCTCAAATAGGCACGACCTCCGAAATATATTGATTAACGCTTTGAAAACTGTCTTATCAACATATTCGCTTTCTCTTGTTTAACATTTTCTCAATAAAATATGTTTTATGAATTTCTCCGCCAGGCTGAAAAGTTATTTTTCATGAATTGTTTCGACGAGAATCCTCATTCTTGTTGTTCTCAAAAAGGAAATTTGCCTCCAATGTTCTTTAAACTTTCTCATTTTCTGAATATATCAAATGCAGAAATGGTCTTTTCTGCCTTTCTTTTATTTAATGTGAGATTAATTCCATAAATTATTTGAATGAGCATCCACATGTTTCTCGTTTTTATTCCTTTATCATCCACACTTGCATGTTATACACTCTAATGTTAAAAATATATTGCTACTGTGTACATATAGGTGTGGACAATGATATTATCACCAAGTGGCGACAGTCCGTTGAAATCATTATATATATATATATATATATATATATATATATATATATATATATATATATATCGATTTCAGTCGAATCCATTATATTCACACGTGAATTGATTTGACCCTTGGGGAAGGTGTGAATCCTCTTCTTCTCTCTCCAGCTATGGGTAAATAACAGGACAGACTGGGTTCTATAACATTGGATGGTAACTGGCCTACGAGAAGGACAACTCTGAATTCAAAACCTGCGGAGGATAGTGTGCCAGGTCTCTGTATTCGGCCCTTCAAAAAGTGTGGATGGTCCTGCCAAAACCTATAATCAAATCTCAAATATTGCTGTTGTCGGGCTGTCGGTTTCCTAGGAACTGATCTGCTTGACCCTCATACGTCGAATTCGACGGGAGAGTCAAGTATGTATATATTATTTTTCATTTATCTACCATTAACTGTCAGTTTTACGCTTACCGATTTTTAAAAGTGGATGACTGCTTATTTCTAACTCCCACATGTGTGCGTGCGCGCTCTCGTGTCTGTGTGTCTGTGTGTGGGGGTGTGCGTGTGTGTGAGGATGACCAAGTCTGTTTGATGGTTTATCGTAACAACTCTAGTTGCAATCTCCAAATTGATTGATTGATAGATTCGTTTTCTACAGCCTTTTCTTCACCCCCTTGCTTAAATACAGGAAATATTTTTAGAGTGTAAGATTTTTAATTTTTTTACATAGTAATGGTTTCATGATACATGGTTTTTGAGATAATAAGTTCATGATACAATTTTTAGTCCATTAATATATGTTTCAGGCAATGGTAGCTCTCCCGTTCATAAATTCTATAAATAACAATTGATTTGATATCGTACTTCAGGGCCGCCATTGTTGGCCTATAATTGAATTAGCACCAAAAGACAAATACAATGTAACCCGGATATAAGAGACCCGGATATAAGAGAAACCCGCATATGAGAGATTTTCTCTGGTCCCAAAGTAGAGCCTGTGTTAATGTATATATAATAGACCAAACCCGGATATAAGAGAAACCCGGATATAAGAGACAACTCTCTTATATCCGGGTTACACTGTATATATATATATATATATCTGAGCAAGTATACTTTCGGGTGATCGAAAGGGTTACAAAGAACTACTTACTTTTTTTTGTGGAGTACTTTTAGGCGCTCCATCGTGTACACACAGACACACGCATATATATATATATATATATATATATATATAGTTTAAAGGTGCTTAAATTTATGGGAAAAGTGCTCAGTATCAGAGATAGAGCGTATGTAAATATAAATATAAAAGTGAGCATTGAAGCCAAAACTCAGAGACGACAGGTTGTTTCATGTTAGGTCGCCTGACGATTGTGCCTAGCATGAAACAGTCTGTCGCCTCTGGGTGTTGACTTCAATATTCACTTTATATATATATATATATATATATGACAAACTGGGAAGATTTCTTTGTGACGCGTTTCAGTCCGATGAAATCGTAACGGATGAAATACATCACAAAAAAAAAAAATAAACCTTTACATTTTACTATATTTTACTAAATACTGTCTATTAATATATAAAATTATAAATCTAACAATTTAATTTTTTGACATTCATAGAACTGTGAAACCGGTAAAGCTATTCTAAATAAATATTCTCAAAATCTTCAGTTGCATTTTCAACATCTTGAATAATATATATATATATATATATATATATATATATATATATATATATATATATATATATTAAAAAAAAAAAAACGAAAGAAAGAACAGTAAGATATATAATCCGGTGTTCTTATTGATATTTTTATTTTTACAAAACAGTGCTCAATGTAAATTTACAGAGCATAAATATTATAAATTAACTGATCTAAAAATGTGGTTTCATCGCTACACAGGAATTACTATGTTTCAAAACGAGAAAGACAAAAACTTCAATTTTATTAAATTAAGAACATTAGTTCTGTTTCATCTTCAAGCAATTTTTGGAAATTAATATAATTGAAATTTTTGTTTTCTGTTTTTGAAACATGGTATTTCCTGTGTCATGATGAAAAAATTTTAAATTTTAAATATATATATATATATATATATATATATATATATATATATATATATATATATATCGGTCTTCAGTGTGGCAAGCCGGGATCGAAACTCGACTGATTTGGCATCATTTGGAGGTTCTATCCCTAAGCTGTCGGCGTACGACAGAGGGAAAGGGAAATTTTAACGTTATCTATACGAAATACGCCAATAGACTGAAGAACTCAAATCGTCCGTAGTGTGCTGAAATTGCCAGTTCCCAGATGTTTAAATAGTTTCGTGTTGTTTGGTGTTGACATCTTTAGTTCTTAGTTTGTATTTTGGGATGTCCCTCTTTTGCTGATAACCAAACATTTTGATTTTGTCTTCTTACTAATTGATGTTTACTAATTATTTTATTATAAAAGTGCTTCGAAAATCAAGTAGGCGGGGATTATCTATCGTCAGGAATTAATGTAAGATTTTCTGACTAAAGAGAATTTTTATGCATCATATACATATATAGATTGCATGTACGACGGGGTTTTGAAAAGTTCCCCAAAATAGGGCCAAACATCATAATTTGACTAGGCGCGATCCCTTCTTGGTCGAGGCAATAAATTTTCAGCACCACCTCACTTGTGTATGTGTATAAAAGTAGCTTTCAGAATGCAATACATAAATGAGGAAGGCCGAGGAGCTCCCCTACCGAAACTTAGTGATCAAAGCCCGGATAGCGTGGAAAGCAGTATGAATAACTTCATGGGATAATGACTGTACCTCATCACACAACTTCAGACAATGTTGCAATTGCGTTTATCCTAGTAACAATGAGAGGGCAAACTTTTACTTCATTGGATGTTCCCTGAGTTGAATAACCATCTTCTTGCATGGCAGGAGATGACCAATGTCCACTTTGATGTCCACTTTTCCCGACAACAGTTTCTAACGATATCGTTGGCCGCCATTCCCCACATCCCAGAAGAAAATCTGCAGCGTCACCGGTCGCACGCATGCGCGAGTGATTTTTTTTTTCAGCACGGCTGGTTTGATTGGTCAGTGGGCTGAGCGAATCAGCCACACCCACCGTTCGCTTCAGTATTATCCTCCTATTCGAATACAAATGGCCGTTTCGTTCGCATTAGAGACGGAATGCGACAGAAGGGAAAAAAAGTCAAGGGAGGTGAAAATCTTTTAGTTAAACGAGTGCTTTCTGCAAGAGTGCACTGTTCCGGGATTGAACCATAAATTTAGTTATTCACTTCAGGGAGCAGACCATGCTGTTCAGATATAGAGCTTGGATGGGTCGTTTGTAGCAGTGTTAATTGTTGAAAATGCACAAATGAATTTTGGTCTGTTTCCTTTTAAGACTATCAGTTTCGAGTAGCCATTTATATAAACGACGATATCATAGGAAAGATTTATTAAACAAATACCTACAAACTTTTCTCTAATGACTGCAGATAGAAGAACAGAAAATTTCCTCTTGAAGCAAATAGCGAATTCGACTTGTCATTACGTGCCTTAGTAAGGTGGCTTTATGTCAGACTAATTTAATCTTACACGGGAAAATTATGTTAGAAACAAAGAAATGTTTACTGTACTCTTAGGTACTATCAATAAACTTTTATGGCATTAAATACTAGAAAATCTTCTCACAGATGATGACAAAACTGGAAGCAACAGAAATGTTCTACAGAAGGTTACCGAAATTACCATGGACGGAGAGCGTAAGAAACAATGAAATCTTTAAGAAAAACAGAAAGAAAAGTCCACTTAGTCAGAATCAGAGAGAACTAAAATTATAATTTCATAATTATAGTTTCATAATGAAGAAGAAGGGCTTGGAAAATTTAAGGGCAAATCCAGGGCAAGAGGGACAGGGTAAGGCAGACGAGCTTGAGAGAATAGATGGGAGTGGGAGTCTTTGCAAAGAGCAAATGTAGCTAAGAACTACACCGGATAGAAAATTGTCGAAAGCCATGATCACTAACGCCCTGGAGGGACATGACACATAGAAGGAATGAGACACCATTTTTGAGGGGGTAATCTAACCTGATTCTTCTTCATTTTTTGTGCCATATATATTCAGGTCAATTATGGCTCTCCACAACTTCTTTTCTTTGACTATTTACCGCCTATGTTCTTGTTCTCTTACCCATTCTCTAAAACGGGTTACTCGCTCTTTCTACCTGTT